CACCACATGTGGAACTTACCAGTCACACACTGGTTGGAAAGTGTGAGGAAAGGGCAGGCTGAGAGATGACACTGGTATAACAAGTACTATCCTAGCAGGGAGACACTAGACTATATATGTAGGAATTCAACCTTACTGGATTATTTAACAAAACCCTTTTTTATTTATAATCAATTTAATCACTGAAATATTATGCATATTTCCAAAACTATAGCAGAGGGTTAGAATGACAACTTCAAACTTTTGTCTTAAAAACCACAAGTGAAACAATAATGGATTTTTTATCTTTATTTTATTATTTTTTTTAAGGAAAGTATTTTTTGTGTCTCAACAGATGAAATTCTTAACTTTCTTTCTGATAAGACAATTGAAACATACAAATCAAATACAACAATGCACTTTCAAGCCTTTATTTCTTCATTTAAGTAACTGACAATTCAAAGGACACAGACAATAGGGCTGTAGCAGAACAGTGTTACAATTAAAATCGATTTCTATGAAAAACAATTACAACAGCTGTTGAAAATCCAGGAAGGTTTGATGTTTTGAACAGAAGAGAATGTATTTTAAGAAGTATTTGTACTGAAATGAGGTGGTTTGTAGCTCTCCTTTTTGAACAAGAAGAGAGGAGAGTCCTTGTGTTAATACAGGATCTGGAGGGAGTATTTTATCACATTGAGAAAATAATTTCCCCATAAAATTAAGAGATGAGTACGTCTCTTATTCATCTTTCTGACTTTGTATTATTACACCATAAAACCCACCAGAGCAAAATTCTTATGGTGTTTTTTTTTTTTTTTTGTTTTGTTTTGTTTTTTTTTTTTAATGCTTACCTCCTACTGTTTACAGTGGTTTGGGTTTCTGCTTCAGTAATTTAACACTTAAAGGAGAACTTGACCTCTTACATGCCTTTTTGTTTACAGTTCTCTGAGATGACATGCACATCCAGCAAGTACTTCCTTCTGTTTTCAATGACTTAAACACACCTTCCAGTGTCTTGAGTTGATGATCTTGAATGTCAAAATGGATGTACTGGTTAATCTTGTTCCCAAGGACTAGTTGCTATTTTTAAACATGCCAGATTAAAACCATACCTCAGAAATAGTTCCCAATGACTGCTGGATGCAAGGCAGTAACCAGTCATTAACTATCAAATGTACTTCACTGACATCACAGCAAAGTCTTCTGGCTTCAGTTCTAAAGCAGAAGCTGGGAATGGGGAAGTTCCAAGTGTTTGGCTTGTTTGTAAGCAAAACATTCTTGATTAAAAGATGAAGATGAGGTTGGCCACGACTCAGTGTTGTGGTAAACAGAGTAGTGTCAGGACAAATTCCCTATGATAAACATTGGCAGCAGCAATTTGAAAAGTGTATGCTTGTTACTTTATCTATTAAAAAGTTGGAGAACCTGTGGAAATGCTAGCTTTCTTTTAAGAAATTTTGACTAGAGAGTAGAGAAACTATGTGACCTAGTTTGGATAGTCTTGTATAAGGACCAAAGAGAAATGTTTTTGTTGTAGTAGTGGGATTCTGAATGCTTGGTGTGACACTTGACAATTGATGTGTTGTTTGCGTTCATTTCAGCATTTCTCATCTATAATCAAAGGCAAAGAGACAAATCTTCATAGATTAGGAAATAATCATGTTTTTTGAGCATTGCAAAGCCACTAATTAAGTGAGGCATTAAGAGGTCTTTTCATGCAATATACCACTGAACTGCATAAAAGACAGAGTCTAGTTGGTGTGCATATCTCATGACAATTTTCTTTTATATACTGCCACTGCTCTACAAGAGCCTTTAATTTAGAATGGTTGGAAACGCTGACTACAGGGCAGACCACTGCTGTCACTACATTGCCAAGTGATGTGCTCCTCCAGAGCAGTTCGGGCAGCAGGGGTTGCAGTTCTTAGAAAAGCGTTTTTTTTTGCCTGATAACACTGCCTATTACCGCATACCAACCTTCATCAGAATTATCATTCCTCACACAGGTATGGGTGAAACATAACTCTTTGGCTTTATAATCCTCAGGGAAATGGCAGAAGCTTCCTCTTGAAAAGTAAATATTATTGTTGTATTCTCCAGAGAGTTAGAGGCCTAGGGGTTTTGATTACAGCCAAGAAATCCTGAGTTCCAGCCTTCTGCTTGTGTTACTAACTGACAGCTCTTCCTCAAGCCAGGCAAAGATGATCTGATATACTTTAGTGAAATATGACAACCTGCCAAACTCATAAAAGCTGACAAAAATTCAATAAGGGCCATTAAAATGCAAACATTTGTATAACTCAGATGGCTGCATCGTCTCTAACTCTTTTACATGGCATGCCTGTTCTATATGAAAACAAAGTATTGTTTGCAGTGCATTAAAACTGATGCACTGCACAGATGTACAAAAGGTTGATAGATTCTTAAAGATGTTTGGTTTCAGTGATAGCAATAATTTAGATAATTTATCTTTATACATACAGCAAGGAACTCTCTTAGCAAAAGTAATAGACTAAATTTACTATCATTGTCTTCCTATAATAAAATAAGTGTGCTCTCCATCACTTGTGCTTTTGAGTTATATAAATAGGAAAGTTATTGGAAAATAGCTCAGAAAAATATAATTTCCACTTAGGGACTGATGAGGTAAATAAGATATTCTAGCTGGTGATTACAGCTTTAACTAGCTGAATGCATCCCCTAGCTATTAATTAATAAATGAGATCCTGCAAACCCAAATAATTTCAGAGTTACTTAGATGATGTGCTAAGTACCAGTGTAATATAATGTTTTACACAAGTTTTAATTCCTATTCTTCTCCACTATCTGATCCTGTATTTTACTAAATTATTGTATTTCATTACACATTGATTACTAAGGTTGAAGCTTACCCTTCCAAGAACAGATGCAAAATAAGGCTTTCAACAAGGAATTCCCTATATCTAGGAAAGAAGGAATTTAGGCCAAATCTCCCAGACTGCTACTGAATCAGTAGACAGAAAGATCAGTTCCTTTGCAATAATTCTATGTTTCTTAATCCAGTATTTTCAGATCTATCTGTGCCTGAATTACCAGCTCCTCTGCCAGTCCAGATAGCATAGGAGATGAACAAAGCCCTTTTTTATAGCACGTCATCTACAACTGTATATGGGAAAGTTTTATAACGCAGAAAATACACTGTGAGCATTCCCCCATGCGAGAATAACTCAGTATTTGTGAATTGTGTTTATTACTTGGTAAGTGGTGTGATTTCCCGCTTTCCATTAACTTTTTAAAATATAAAAATATTAAACCTAGGCATTTCTTAAAATAAACTTTGGGTGCAAAGATTTGTTTATTTAAAGGTATCTGTGGTATCTAGTACAGGGCTACTAACACTGTGACAAATCCTCTATAGTGGATCTGTGTAAGTATAAATATTCTTAAAAATTTTTGAAAGTGACTATGCTGTAGAAAATTTTGGATGCTTTTAAAAATCTGAAGTGGTGTTTTTCATTTAGGTTATCAATAGATATTAGAATTCTAATTTTCTTTTTTTTTTTCTTTTTTTTTTTTTTTTCAGTTTTAATGAGTTTGTCAGTGATGGTGTTTTTCTTTATCTGGTTATCATGGAGAAAACTAGTAGTTTCTTCTACTGTAAAACTGGAATTTACTCAGTAGATCTTATGATATAGGAACAGGTTCCACTCCTTGATATAGTGTCAAGTAGTCCAAAAAATGAACTATAATTGCATAAAGGAAATCTTAATCTTAGAGTGGAGGAACCTTCTGAGGAAAAAAGTCGATGTTCTCAATGCAGGGGTAGGTGCAATAGCTGTTTTTTCATGTCATACAAAAGGCAGTATTGCAGTATATTAGACTGTCAATCATATTAAAAAATAAAGGAAATTAAAAGATTATTAATAAAGTGGGTTATTAAAATAATCAATGGTAAATTTAGCCAAAAAATTCCTTGCATTTGACATTCTGCTGCAGAGGAGGGTACAGTGGTGCAAGTCAGCTGAAATCTTTTGGGAGTGTCAAGAGCAAATACATAAGGATAAGACAGATTTCAGGAGGCACAAGAGAGTTCAGATTCAACCCCTGTCTGTTCAACCCCTGTCTGTCTATGCTCCCTGCAGTCTATCAGGATTTCAAGCCGCTTCTTCAGTTCCTGAGGTAGCACTAACAACTGTTTTCCTTTCTAGTGAGTAAGACCCTGGTTTAGAGTATAATGGGTTCATGGGTGATAAATCTTATTTCAGATTATCCCAGAAAGCATAAAGAAAATTCTCTGTTGGTAAAAGTACCTAGCTGTGGAAAAATGGGAGTAGCAATAGTTTAGATTACAGACTGTGTCCTTCTTCAGACTCATCTCTGCTGTAGATTTGGTGGATTGTGGCAATCCTCAGGGGGTTGAAATAACTTTCAAGCTCAGCAGAGTATACTTTCCACCACTTAATTTTTCTAGTGTAGTTATAGGGGAGTTTGAATACTGGTGATTTTCTCAGAAACCATGTTTCAGATGCAGATTTTCAGTATTGGTTGCTTTCCAAGTGACACAGCTGGTGAAATCTGTCTTTCTGCTGTTCTCTCTGTGGTGCTGGTAAGTGGCAGGCTTTCTTTCTTCCAACATTAGCCTGATTGTATCCCCATCAATTACCTGAACACACTGCACAAGTAAAAGTGAGGGATTAGGCTGACTGATACTTGGTATGGAGAATAAACCCCAAACCACGTTTGAATGAGACCTAGTTTTTTCTTTGTGTTTGAGGGGTCCATGCGATGAAGACGAGAGTGAGTAGATGAAAAATACCTGCTAGAATCTTCTTTTTCTCTGTGTAATGTTTTATATTCTCAGTTCAAGAGTGGTAGGTCTGGAATGACAACTTGTTGTGAAGACTTTACACTAAGACCTAAGGTCTGATGTTAAGAAAACAGTAATGTTCTTATCTTAGTTTCCTGCACTACTCCTTGGAAAAAAGTGCTCAACTACAACAGCTGAAACAATGTAAATTCTCTTCACTTTTTCAAGTAAATTTTACCACTCCATGGAATTATTTATTTGGGTTTCATTGTGGATAAGCATGATACACATCATGACATAAGCCCTAAAGTAACTTTTAAAATGACATTCAGGACAACTGTCTTGACAAACAAAGCTTTTTTTCTTCCCCCCCCCCCATTATATTAGTATATTTTGCTCAAACATGAAGTGAACTTATGGACAAATCTGAATTCTCATGTGCTTCATGGATCATGACAGCAAGGCTGTTTCATTTCCCATCCATATTCATGATCATATATATTAAAATAAATTACAGCACAATTTTTTCTCGTTAACCTTGTCACCTTTCAAAAACAATATACATTTAATACTTGAAGTAAGAAAAGAGCAAAACAAATATAACTACTTATTTTTCCACACACAAACATGTACATATGAACTACATGTGCTTGCAAACAGATTTTAGTAAGTGTGATGGTATTTTAATATACCTGCACTATGGCATTCCCTCCACAAAAAAATGAGAGACTTGTTATCACATGTACTTGCTCAAAAGTCAACTTCTTACTTTATGGCTGCAAGCTCAAGAGATCAGTGATATAATTTACTTCCTACTTATACAGTGCCCAGTGCAATGAAGTCAAAGTGTTGTTTGGTTTTAGGTATTAAAGTGTCGTAAATGAATTCTTTAAGAAGCAATAATATTTTTTTCTGAAAGATTAAAATTGCTAAGGTGTGTACAAGTTGACAGCCATCTCCATAGCTGCATACGCAGCTGCTTATGCACAACACTTTTAAGCCATTGTTTTTGGCTTATGTATGAGGAGATAATGTTACTGACTTGCAAATGCCACGGTTAGAAATAGGCAGACGTCTTTAAGGTTACAGATTTCCATTTACCTTTTTTTCCTTTCTTTCCAAAATGTATATTTTCATGTTCTCCAGCTCAGTTAGCAGTGGTAAATATTAAAGCAATTCAAAATAAAAGATATGCCACAAGATGAGAAATAATTAAAACTAATTTCCACTGCAGCCTGCTTAGTAGAAAGCAAAAAACCTAGATTCATTTATCAAATTTCCAGTGTAACCGGGAGCAACAGAATGGTGTCTCCTGATTTATATTGCCTGACTACGGTAGAAAATCTGTTTTCACTCTCTTCCTTCAACGTTACTGCTTCATGACAATTTTGGTACCTGCTGAATAAACACAAATAATCAAATTATGAGGTGAAAGTCTGTTCTTTCGTATTTCTCTATAACCTATTTGAATATGAAAGACAAAGTATTCTTCAATCTAAGTTGAAACAACAGTGATCATTTTCTTGACTATACCAGCTCTTTCCTCATTCTGCTGATGCTATAAATGCAGATTTTTATTTTCAGCTGGCCTCATATCCAACCACCTGCTCCTAGTAAAAAAAAAAAACAAAAAACCAACCCCCCAAAATCCCCTGCAGATTGCTTTTGGCATGTAGCTATCTCAGTAGCAAGGTTTTTACTGAAGTTGGTTTATTTCACTTGCAGGAGGAGGTTTATTTAAACTTCTTTTTTTATTTTTATTTTTGGCTTGAAGGAGGTTTAAGATTCTGGTTTGAGATCAGATTCCAAAAGCCACGTGAACATTCAGTGAAACTTAACCAAATTCAGAGATCTTCATTTGGCATCACAGTCATTTGAAACTGAGAAGGGAAGAGGGTAGAACTAGGAGACACAAAAGGAGCATGTGTCACTAAACTATGATTCTTCTAAGCTGCCAAGGGAAGTTTAGTTTTTAATTCTTATTACAGGTGATAAGAACAGGGCATCCAAATTGCTTAGATAACTTGAAAAATCTCATTCATTTCTTGAGAGATTCTCCAACGAGGCCCTCTGCTTTTTCCAAAGTGTTCTTTTAACTTCTTCAGGCACAATTAAGTTTTAAATTACTGGATGAGAGTTTTTTAACTTTTTTTTTCCTGGTTCTGTTTAGCATAAAAAGCAATCAGTCTCATAGGATACTGAAACAAGGTCAGAAAGCATGTATACAATGTTTCCCCACGTGTTGTCTTACTGCAAAACTATGAATCAGCTGCAGCAGACTGGCATTTCTAAGATTCTACTGCTGTGCTTTTTCTTTTATTTGAGATCAGAGTTACTGTTCAGTGAAGATAGACAACTTGATCATGTGTTTCTTTCCCTGCTACTCCATGTCAAGCCACCTGATGAGCTGAGGTGATGGAAACGGACAGGATAGTCATCATGCAAGCCCCAGGTAGACTAGGATCATTCAGGGGAAAACAATAATCAACAAACTGATCAGAATAGGCTTCCTGTTCCTCACTTCTTGCTGGGTGTTTCACTGCTGGGGATGGAGGTGTAACAGATTCTAGTTTATTACACAAACGTTGCCTTCTTTGAAGAAAAATGGGTAAGGATTGTCCATTTTATTACTGCCTAATGGACTATATTTTCACACAATGCAGTAGTGGATGAAGCAAAATAACTGCCTGACTACAGTTTCTTGTCTGTCTTTGCTGGAAGTTGCTGTTGTACTTGGGCAGCCAGCAGTCACTTGCTCTACCGGATTTTCAGCCAATGCTTTGTCTTTTTACGGGTTAAATATGGGCTTCTGGCATTCACATATCCTGAAAGTTTTTCAGAAAAAGTCCAATGTCTAAAATTGATATCCAGGCATGGTGTAGCAAAGTCTGTTTCTACTTGTCTTTGATGTGATTCTGCTGCAACATGGCCTACATCCCTCAGTTTCTTCTCACCAGTTTCTTCTGTCACAAGGTTTAGATAAGACTTTTCATTAAGTGTTAATGCTGACTTACTGCATCTCATATGCCTAAATTACAATTTGTGTGCTGAGGGTGTAGTGTGCAATGTTTCTTAATTTTATTTGTGATGTTATAATTGTTACCGTCATAGATGTTTCAATACCAAGATGAAAGAAATTAGGAAAAAAAAGATAGCTACCATCCACGTAAATAAGGAAAACCTCAAATGGCAATGTGACAATGAAGTCAAAAGAAAAAATGTTTAGTTAAAAAACCACTTAGTGACATCAACTTGTGTCAACAGTTCTCTAGGGATCTTGGAGTCTCCTGTTTGAGTTCAGTTGTATCTGGAGCTGTCAACCCTGTTGGCTCTTGCAACATGCGTGAATGGTTGATGAAGTGGGAACGGAGGGTAAATGCAGCCTCCCAGTCTGAATCTAACTGAAGTTAGATTTCTGTGGACAAAATCTTTCTGAAAAGAATGTTGTAAAGTTAATGAGAAAGAAGAAGGGGAAAAGAAAAGAGAACCAGCCCAAAATCTAAAAGTAAGGCTGAGGTGGGGTGCTGGTTAGTCTTAACCATCCTAAAATAATTTCAAACTCTTTTGTTAATACATTGCTTCAGTCTTCTCTTTAACTCACTTCTTGAAAGTTTAACTGGGTTAAAAATTGCCCGGGTTAAAAATTGCCCAGGTTAAAAAAACATCCAGGTTAAAAACTGGTTGGATGGTTGGGCACAGAGAGTGGTGGGGAATGGTGCCACATCCAGCTGGTGTCCAGTCACTAGTGGGGCTCCCAAGGCTCAGTATTGGAGCCAGTCCTGTTTCTCATCTTTGTCAATGACCTGGATGAGGGGATCAAACGCATCCTCAGTAAGTTTGCAAGCAACACTGAGTTGGGTGGCAGTGTGGATCTGCTGGAGCGTAGGGAGGCTCTGCAGAGGGATCTGAACGGGCTGGATTGAGAAGCTGAGGCCAGCGATATGAAGTTCAGCAAGGTCAAGTGCCAGATCCAGCCCTCAGATCACAATAACCCCAGGCAGTGCTACAGGCCTGGGGAAGAGTGGCTGGAAAGCTGCTCAGCAGAAAAAGACCTGAGAGTACTGGTCAACAGTGGCTGAACATGAGCCAGCAGTGTGCTGAGGTGGCCAAGAAGGCCAATGGCATCCTGGCTTGTATCAACAATAGTGTATCCAGCAGGACCAAGGAAGGGATTGTCCCTCTGTACTTGGCACTGGTGAGGCCACACCTTGAATCTCGTGTTCAGTTTTGGGCCCCTCACTACAGGAAAGACATTGAGGTCCTGGAGCATATCCAGAGAAGGGCAAAGGAACTACTGGAGGATGTATAGAGTAAGTCCTATGAGGAACTGCTGAAGGAGCTAGGGTTGTTTAGTCTGGAGAAAAGGAGGCTCATGGGGGTTCCTTATCACTCTCTACAACTATGTGAAAGGAGGTTGTAGTAAGATGGGGGTCGGTCTCTTCTCCCTGGTAACTAAGTTACAGGATGAGAGAGCATAGCCTCACACTGTGCCAGGCGAGGTTCAGGTTGGATGTCAGGAGGAACTTCTTCACAGAAATATTTGTTAAACATTGAAATGCATTGTCCAGGAAGCTGGTGGAGTCACCACCCCTGGAGGTGTTCAGTAAATGACTGGGTGTAGCACTTAGTGCCACGGTCTAATTGGCAAGGTCAAAGGTTGGACTTGATAATCTTGGAGGTCTTTTCCAACCTAAATAATTCCATGATTCAGTGTGATTCTGTAAACACTTGTACATTCATCTATTCTGAAAGAAGAGTACTGGTCTGTGGAAGTGGACTTCAAAACATATTTGTGGGAGGCTCAAGCATTCTCTTAAAGGAATTATGACAAGGATATTTTGGTACCTGCTTTCTCAAGTTCCTTTGCTTGTTTTGACATTTTCTGCTTTTTCCATTTCTGCAGAACTGTTGCTTCTCCTCAGAGTTTTCTTGCACTGACTGCCAGGTAAGTTCAGGCTTGTGCCAGCATAGGGGCCAGCCTGTACAAAAGTCAGAGGTAGCTTAAAACCTTTGTTCCCACTTTTAGTACCAGGTATGCACTATCCACCTGTTTCTGAATATATGATAGGGGAGCCATGTGGGTCAGACGCCTCCTCACAGCCCACTCTTTTTTCTCCCCTGTAGTAAAATAAACTGTGGTGTCTCCTTGATCTCTAGCAGAGAAGTAGAGGTGACTCCTTCAAGAAGCGTGTAGGCATTCAGCCATTCTGTTCTTAAAAGAATTGCCAAAAAGGTGCTATCTAGGCACGACCTTGGCACTGTATTCCTTATTCCCCCAAAAGAGCCACAGTGAGTGTGTGTCCCACAGACACATAAAAAAGGAGACTGTGTGGAGCAAGATAAAAAGTGTGACTCTGAGTCTTGTTGTCCTCACTTCTGTTAAGAGACGCCATATGCCTTGTCAAGTCCATGCTGAAATAAGTAGGCTGCAAAAAGAAGAACATCGCTAGAGGCAGGAAGCAAACACTGATTCTGAAAAACTGAATACTGACTGAACTCAAGGCAATACACAGAACGTTGACAGATCTGCAAGGTGGTGCTCAGCAACAGCAAGTGGTGATTTTCATCACCAGTACACATTTCACATAGGTAACTAAGCATATTTCTGCTCACAAATCCTTGCAGTGCACTAACAACGCAATCACTTCTTAAAAGTCATTCTAAGGGAATAAGGGTATACAGCAATTCATAGTTAATCCTAAAAGTACATTTTTTCTAGGGTGTTTTTTTTTAGAATTTTTTTCATTGTGTCATTTAATATGAAGAAATCAGCTTCAAATGTCTAGAACTTAGGAGACTTTTTGCTTCTAACATTGATTTTAACATTTAACATGAAATGACTGCGGGGCAATGGATTACTAGTTGAAAAAATGACAATTACAAGGGAAAGGCACATGCAAATGTCTTCAATGGACAGTTCAGAAACATTTTTTTTATCCCCATTTGTTTCTTTAACTGCCCACATTAAGGTACAGTAGAGTTTTGGACGTCAGTGCAGTGGTTATTACATCAACAAAAATAATTTCCCTGGTGTTAGAATTTAGTCAGGGGTTATTCCATTATATTAATGTTCTATAAACTGTCATAGAACAAAGAGTATTCTGATCAAGCATCTCTATAAATCTTCACCTATCTAGTTCAGAGCATAAAAAAAAGGAAGCAAGAAAACACAGCTCTAAACTTAAAATCAACTTAAGTGAACAAAATTCTAACAACTCTTGCAACCTCCTCAGTTTGGCAACATAAAATGGAACAACGATGTAACCAAATATCAACCACTAAGAAAAGAGATTCTCAAAATTGTCTAGCCTTGGGTCCTGCAGCTTTGTTATGGGTACATCTGGGGAGCACAGCTGGATTTTACAACTTTTGGCACATTTCCCTTGATAGGAGCGGGAGATTGTTATCCTGCTTTGAAAATCTCTGCCAAAGAATGTGGATACTAATTTTAGAAGCGCCTGTATTCCATTATAGGTCAGCCTGACTTTGGTTTCAAAGTGCTGAAATCTAATATTAAGATTGAACGTGGGCTCTTAAATCACACTAATCCAAATGTTCTGTCTTATAATATTTTCATATCCTTTTTGATTAAACATATATATAGTCATTGTTATCCTTACTCCAGGTTATGCCAATCATTGAAAAATTGTATTTGTTATCAGCCATGTAGGACAAACTTATGGCTCCTAATTGCTGGAAAAAGGAGAAGTGATGAACAACTTCATATCTTGCATTTGCTGAGAATTTCAAAATAGGAATAGTGATATTAATGATTAAGAATAAAGTTTCAGTTCTCAGTCTTTTGAGAATTTGTTTAGAGACATAAAACAAACAAAAAGTTACTTGTACTGAACTAATATTCCACTTCTGACTTCTCTCCATTAAAAATGATTTCTAAAATCTGGAATAACTCACCCCTCTTGCTCTAAGATACTGCCCCTGAAAGAAATATAACCACATCGTTATTAAAATGGCATCAAGAATAGCTAAGTAATCTGTTCTTGGAAATTAGCTTTGTGTCTATGTGTTATCTACAAATATACAAGATGAGAATGACAGTGGCTAGAGGTTCATTATATCTGGCAGTATGTTAGCCTTTTTGAGGCTATCATGTTTTAATCATTATTTTAGTATTATAATCCCCATATTATGCATGAACAACTGTAGTTTACTTGGCATTGGAGAAGAGTTCATTCCTAGTAGCAGAGTGTTTGTATGTTTTAATACATTTGTATAAATAGTAAGATGACCATATTTCCCAAGGAGTCTGCAGAATGTATTATGCTCTTTATTTTGCCCGGTACACATTAACATTTTAACAGTAGCTTTGAAATTAAAATCAGGGCTAACAAAACCGATTCTCTCTCTTCAAGGTAGAACTCAACTCCTCTATGCCAGCATTGACTAGTGGGTTGCCTTCCCTGGGTGAGAGCCAGGGCTATGTTACAGTAAACTGGTCCAGTGTGATATCACAGATATAAAAAATATTCCATTCTGTATCAAAACTAGGCACATGCCTTATATTTATACGAAGAGAAGATCGACAGAGTTGATTGTTTTTACTCTCAATTATTCAACTCTGGCCTTCTACATGAGGAGAAAAATACCTTATGTAATTTCTAATTAGTAACTACAAGAATCTAATTTAAGTTTGATGGTAGTTAAAAGAAGGGTGACATCACACTTGGGTCAGTATTGGTGGATATCTAAAAGCACAACCTCTCATTTGTATTGCTTTAAAATGTACACAGTATAGATGTAAATTGAAAAGAAAAAAAACTACTAATTTTTTTGTGGTGTTGAACCAACTAGAAGGGAGGATGCAAAGTTTTACCAAATGAGATATATAGATACAAATGTCACTGTAGAGCATGTTTTAGACAAATGTGTCTTTTTCTTTAAGTATGTAAATCCTACACTGTAGGTTTTTGTTTGTTTTTTTTCTTTTTTCTTTTGTAGCAGTAGAAAATGTTGAACAATTGTCCATGAGCATGAGCCAGTGGTTCATTGCTGATATCCCCAGAATGCCAATATTTGCAATGCAAACAGTTAGTACAATTTCCCAGTTCTATGAAAGGCCCTGACACATCTGCCTCAAGGTCTGGAGGCTCTGTTGTATAACCACAAATAGTCTTTCCATTTTCCTACAACCTTTTGATACACTGACAGCTGCATTAAGCTGCTTTTGCCCAGTGATTCCACATGCCAGGCTGTTTTAATAGATTTTAATGCCACAGAAAAAGCACTGCTAGCAGAATACTATCAAATCATTTTCATATTGAACCGTCGTGGTCCAGAAACCTCCCCTTCAACCACAGCACCATTGTTTTTGCGAGGGACATATTCAAGGTCAATGCTGGTTTTGTGTTTGCCCTTCCCTCGGCTCCAAACAAAAAGAAGAAGGAAACAGAATAAAACCACTCCAAGGAATGTGAAACAGCCCATAGCTGTGGACACCAATATTGTCTTAAGGTCCAGAGAGTAGCTGTTCGCATTAGTTCCATTGGAACTTGTGTCGTTGGAGTCTGTCATATACATAGGGGTCCTGTTGGCATAAAGGAAACGATCTGAAGTAAACCCCTTTACCATAAGGGAGGCCGAATAGGTGTCATTCCCAGCTGCGTTACTTGCAATACAGACGTAGATCCCAGTGTCCTGGTCTTGAGCAAATCGGATCTCCAGAGTGCCGTCCCCCAGCACTGTGGCTCTACCATTTGATTTAGTTGTGATCAGCCTCCGGCGTGGGGTAACCCAGGAGATGGTAGGCTGAGGGTCCCCATCAGCATTGCACATCAACTGCACTGTCTGGCCTTCCTCCACCACTAGGTACTGCAACTTCTTGTCTTGTATCTTGGGTTTCTTGCAGGTGAAGTAAAAGGAAAGAGCTGTGCTGTGAAAGTCTCTGAATGACCTCTCTCTTACACTGTCTGGGCCAGCGCACATTGGTGGCTCACCCCCGAACTGCAAGGTGGGCTGCCGCTGCAAAATCCAAAGGAGACGGCAGTCACAGGCCAGAGGGTTGTTGTTAATACAGAGGACTTCAAGGCTTTTGGAGGAATGGAATACATTCTCTTCTAGGGTTTCTAGCAGGTTTTGGGACACGTTAAGCACACGTAAGAATCGGAGCCCTTGGAAAGCGTGTGGTTCAATGGTGCGCAGCTGGGCCCCCACCATGTGGAGCTCCTGCAGGCGCACTAAATCTGACAGCATGCCTGCTTCGATAGTGCTGATGGGGTTGTAAGAGAGGTTGAGATGTGTCAGGTAAACCAGGTGCTTAAAAGCAGAGTAAGGTACAGCAGACAGGTTGGTGTTGGTGATGGAGAGAGAAGTAAGATTGAGACCGTACAAACTGTTGGCAGGTAGCATGTCCAGGAGGGGCCAGGTCTCTATCTGTAGGTCTTTCAGACGAAACAGTCTTTTAAAGGCATACGCCGGCAAAGCGTTAATGTTGAGCTGTTTCAAATGCAGACTGATGAGGTTGTGGAGATGAGAAAGAGCTTCTGTTGGTACGGCTGTGAGGTTGCATCTCTCCAGGGTGAGCTGCTCCAAGCTGAGCAGCCCACTGAAGGCCCTGTGTGATATATACACCAAATCATTGTCCCCAACCTCCAAGGATTTAAGGTTATGCAGATCTTGGAACATGTAGTCCAGCAAAATGACAATCTTGTTTTCACTTATATCAAGCTTTGTTAAGTTTGATAACCCAGTGAACACCCCAAGGGGGACCAGCTTCAGACGGTTTCCTTTCAGCCGGAGGGAGCGCAAGTTGAAGAGATTGTTAAAGGCTCCAGGCTCCACATTGGAGACAATATTGTCACTGAGGTCAATCTCCTCCAGCAAAGGGTACGATGTGAATTCCTCAGGGTTTACGCTCTTCAGTCGGTTCTTGCTGAGGTCCAAGATTTTGGTCTCAATGGGAATGCCCTCTGGGATGGACATCAGACGCCTTCGGTGACAGCTGACAGACTTGTTCTGTGCCGAGCACTCACAGCGGGCCGGGCAGCCCATGGTGGGGCCTGTGAAGATTAGCAGCACAGCCAGACCCAGGAACGGCTGCCAGCATGATAGAGCTGTGTGACGCATGACTCCACTGATCTGGGCTAACCCTCCGTCACGGGCCTGTGGGGATGAGGATGGGAAAGGGGAGAAGTTAAGTCTGCAGAAAAAGGAGAACTCAGCCAATTTTACAGTACCATTTCAAAGCAAACATACGTGTTTTCATTTGAAACGAAACAGTAAAACCTACTGTGAATGGCAAGACCAACAAAAAAAAGCAGATTTTCCTTCAATATCAATGGGCTAGCCAAAGGGTCTGTTTATTCAGCATTTTTCTCCAGATGTCAGAGGAGACAAAACAGCTTTTCCTACTGCAAACAGTAAAGACGGTTAGATTTCAGTCTTTTCTCACTTTCAGTGGGTTTCCTCAAGACAGTGCTATAATTAACCCAAGATAAACACCACACACTCTGCAAAAAGGGCTAATAGGATTTGTGATAAGTGTACAGCATTAGACCTCTGTGAGGTGATATGAAACTAAGCTTTTGCCTTTCTTATTCCCATTCATGTTCTAAGGTAAATCTTAATGATGTATTATAATCAAGAAAAGGAACTCCTTAACAATGAAAAGATTCCTTTTAACATTTATTGCATATATTAAAGCTATAAATAGATGGAGCTTGTTCACACATACGCGTATGCTGTGGCTCAGATGAGGAAGGAAGAACTGGTGCATCTCTGTTTAGAATCTGTAATAAGGACAAATTGATTCTTTGCTTTTACTGCACAGAGATATTTCATGTGATTTTTAGAACCCAAGACCTAAGAAGATTTTACAGAATACCTCTTTGTACTTCCAAGATATGTAAACTAATTTTTAGGAGGACAAAAACCAAGATAAGATGATCTACCTGTGTTTAATCAGTGCAGTGTGCAAAGAGGAACCACAGATTCAATGGGAATCAGAATTAGTAAGGGATTTATTAATTCCCACCTTCAAGTTAAAAATGAGGATAAAAGAAGACAGGATAACATCTATTAAATTAAACCCCCTTATCCAAAGGCTGTACTTTTCAGGTTTAGTCACCAAAGGCCACAGAATTTTTCACCAATAGCTACTAACTGATGACACACAATAACTCATTTCAAAAGAAGAAGAAAAGAATATAGGTGTTCGTCAAAGGAAGGTGTGTCTCAGACACTTTCAGACTGAAGTAAACTGCAAGCAAGGACAATGGAAGTGCCTTAACTCCTGTGGTACAACCAACTTGATGAGTAACAGTACTGGGATTTTGGTTTCATGATATTAATAAGCCTTATGGTGTGCCTCAGCCTTTTCTGGATTGGTTAACTTGGGTTCATTTTAGCTGAAAATATGTTTACATAACTTCTGCCTGTAATTACCTCTTGGAACTGAATAGATGAATATTGCCCATCTGGTCATCATGGGTAATGACAAAATTACCCTGTGACCAAGCATCCACCCCCTTATCTGTGTGTTTGGGCTTAGAGAGTCATCTGGGTCCTACCTAAGAAGTTTTCAACTTCTATTTGAGTAATTTTTTCTATGTGCTGTCACATAGACAATGTAAAAGAAATCCGCCTGTACACAGAGGAGAGTGTCCTCTAAATACACTTAAATAAATTATGGTATAAGCAAATTTATGAGGAAATCAGACAGTTATTTTAGCAAATAAGCTGTTTGAACAACATAAAAATAATACCGAGCAAATCACAAACTGACTAAGTCCCACCAGTAACTATACTGCAGTAAAACCTCACTCCCCCGGCACACAAGTTAGAATGTGATAATCATCCTGCCTGACAGAGGAGAGTTGACCTCTCAGACTGTGGATGATCAGAAGAGCGGAGACTCAAGATGCGAGAAAAAGAGTAAATATTTGGATCTATTGATCTTATTGTAACATTAACAATTCTCAACAGAAACTGTGTGGTTTGGATTGTAAACATTAGCATTATTGTAACTGTACTGAGAAATCAACAGCTGTTGTGTTTTGACTGTTAAAAACTGTTTTGATTGTTTGAGTGAGCAAGAATTTATTTGGAGGTACATAAAAATTGTGTTCTTTGACTGACCATAAATGAATGGTGCATATATTACTCCTCTCATAACTCTGTGGAAGAATTTCACTCTTGACTGATGTGGCTTTGTATTTCCATTTTGACACATCTATGCAGAGATTAACAATAAGAGGCATATTGCATGCTGATTTTGACATGAGACTGGAGACCTGGATGAAGACTACTCTGTATGATATCACCTATAAAAGCACATTTTGACTTTGCTCTAGAATGACAACCTGCTGAGATTTAGTTTCCCCCTTAAGTTGTAGTCTTACAAGTAACTATTGCTAGTTATGTCCAGCTGTGATAAAGGTTTTGAGAGGTAAACTTCCCTTCATTAGGCACTAAGTTAAAACTGGAAATCTATAGGGGTCTGTGAATTAGGTGTTTGCAATGAATTCAGACTAGAGAGGCTTTTGGGTGTTCTGATTATTGCTTTCAGAACTCAGTCTGTGAGATTAGTGCTTTCATACTGATACTTCTAGCACACAGGGATTTCATTTCCTTCCTTCCTTAGCTGCCTAATGTATGAAGCACAAAGTAAACAGGTTCAGTGGAAGGTAAGCATGCCTAGAGTGGTCATTTTAGATAGCAAAAATACAAAACAATTTTGCAACTATCCAATCCACCTAGTAACTAAAACTTCTGAGGAGTCTAAATTATAAAACGGACAGTATAAAATGTGATAAAAGGATTTTTTCGTCTCTGTCTGGAAGAAAGAAAAGTAATGTTAATAAGGCACTTCAGATATTACAGTAGTCTTCTGCGAAAGTTATGCACAGATATGGAGATGGATATGTATTAATCTAAAATGGTGTGGGCATATGTGTGTACGCATTTGCAGGCAAGAAAGATTCAGGACTGAGGTATAAGCTGGAGCAAATTACATTTCAATAAGGAGAATCAATAATTTATATTAAATAGCAAGTCATAAAAGTAAAGTTTACTTGGATCAGGGTTAGAAGTTAAATACAGGTTAGAAGAAAACATAAATTAAATTTATTATTTCAATTTACCTTGACACAGATTATACTATCACGCTTCCTGCTAAAGAAATGTGTGACTACACCCTTAACTTTGAACTGCTTTTTGGGAAAATTACTATCTCCATTAAAAAATGAAAAAAAAAAGTAACCTTATCTCATCAGAAATGCTACTCCTTAAAAATCAGGGTGAAATTATGTCATTAAAAGATAGATTTGTTGCAGTGAAAAATTATTTCACACATTTCTTTAAACTTCAGCACACTGGTGCTGTGCTGAATTATGTGTCACTGTTCAACATGATACCTTCCATTCCTTCTTAAACAACCAGCACAAAGTACTTTATCCTTTACAAGTATAAAAATTCCCCCTAAACATCTGTAGGATTATCTCATTGTCCTTCCTTGCATCCCTCTCTTCACTGTGATATATGCAAGAAATTAAAGTGCATGCATACAAGTATGTACATATATATGTATTTGTACATAGATGTAACCTAAAAGTACAGTCTTAGTGCTTTGTGATTGTACCATGTATTGCACTAGAGACTACTTTAAAATTATAGCTTATTAGGCCCAAAATTCAAAAAACATAATAAATAATTATGAACTGACAGTTTCTCTATGCTTGAATGTGAATGAGAACCTGTAAAATTGTTTTTACAACCTTTCTGGAGCATTTATAATGCTTCAATAAACTCTAGAAAATTACATAAAGGAATATATATAAAGGAATTCCTCATTAAAAAATAAAAATAAACTAATTGTCTTCTTTCTTTTCTTTCTCTAGCTCTGTTTCTTAAGTCCAAAGTGTCAAGAGTCAAGTTACTGTTGGCTGATACTATTTTTCAAAAGAGGATCCTAGTCAAAGTTCAACTATGCAATTATGAAAGCTCATTAAAGTTATTAGTTAATAGTTCTGTGTGATCTCACCCAAAACAGCCATCTCCACTGCTTTGAAATGCAAATCAGTTTGTACAAAGTTCTGCAGCTTTGAATCTTCCCATAAATGCTTTACAGGAATGTACTGTGCCCTGTAGCTTTTAAACTGAAAAACTATAACTAAAATTAAAAAAAAAAAAATCAAAAGCAACCCAATGCTCCCTTAGAATGCCATACAATTCTGAATATCATAGCTAGGAATGTGTCTAACCATGCAAATATGTTTTATATTGTTTCACTTCTCCCTCTCAGACTAATTTTGAAATCTTTATAGCTAAAACTAGAGTGCACTTGACCATGCTCCTTTCCATGTCCAATATGATTCTTCAGTACTATAAGGGACATGGTTTTAGCCAGAAAAGGAGTGATCTGTTTCATTTGTCAGCTGAATTTGAATCAAATGATACTCTAACTTGGCAGGTTTGATCTCTCCTTTCCTACCCCTTTTCCTGCCTTTCAGAAAGCAAAAAAATCCAGTGGATCATATCAGAGATGACAATTTTGTCTGACGTTGAGATCACTTAATAATTTACCTTCTAAGACTCCCTTTAGAAAACCATACTGTATTAAACACATGTTCTAGGATTAAACGTTGCATGATAAGACAGACTTGTACTGATTATTCACCTAAATGCTACCAGCTAATCCTGAGAACCAGGTGAAGTCCCTGTTTTAAAGGTATCTACTGCACTGACCCTGGCTGGACACCAGGTGCCCACCAAAGCTTCTATCACCACCCTCCTCAACTGGGTAGGGTAGGGAAAACACAATGAAAGGTTCACGGGTCCAGATAAAGGGAGCGATTACTCACTGGTCACCATAACAGGCAAGACAGAGTTAACTGAGGGGCATTAGTTTAGTTTATTACCAATCAAATCAGAGCAAGATAATGAGAAACAAACCTAAATCTTAAAACATCTTCTCCCCTCCCTTTTTCCTGGCCTTCTCTCCCTTCTCTTTACACCAGTGCAAGGTTTTGGGAAGTGGGAACTGTCGTCAGTTCATCACATTGTCTCTGCCACTTCTTTCCCCACAGGGGGAAGAGGGAGAACACTCCTCACACTCTTTCCCTGCTCCAGTGTGGGGTCCTTCCCACAGGAGATAATCATGATGA